GACTCTCCCTACAACGTGATTATGGGGTGAACATGGCTGCATGCGTTGGGAGCGATGCACTCCACTTTCCACCAGAAATTAAAATTTGCCACGCTAGAAGGTATCATGGAGATCCGGGGGGACCAAGCGTCCGCGAAAAACTGTTTTTATTNACTGTGAGAACGGTCAAGGGCTTGTCAGCAAGTTCAAATCTCCAGCAGGTTGCCGAATAATGGGGGCAAACTTCTGACATTTGTCGCACTTCCGCACATAACTCTTCGCATCTTTCTGCATGTATGGCCACCAAAACCTTTGCATCATTGCTCAGTGCGCGAGAGACCTTCCATCCATGTGGCTTCCACACACCTCTTCATGGATTTCGTACAACAAGGGTTCCACTTTATATTTGGGGACACAAAGTAATAGTGGTCCCGAGAATGACTTTCTGTATAATTGTTGATCATCTGACATCCGGAATCTATGGGCTTTGAGCTTAATCTTCCTGGCCTCTCTGACGTCTTTCGGAAGCACTCCGTCCGTTAAGTATGGAATGATAGGCTTCATCCATTCCGATGGTGTTTGCATTACGATTGGCAACTTGTTCGGCCTTTGCTTCGTCTATGCTCGAACTTTTTCGGGTCTCAAAAAGTATGCGCCGAGTTACCTCCAAGACCAAAGCCGAAGCCAGACATGCTAGTGCGTCGGCGTGGGTGTTATGATCTCTAGGAATCTAGAAAACTTCCATTTTTTCTAACTTTTTCATCCTGGATTTTGCCTTCTCATGATATGCCTTCATTCTGCTATCCCGGACCTCGAAGTCCCCATTTACCTGGTTCACGACTAGCTGGGAATCGCAAAAGATCCAAAGGTGTCTAACCCCAATCAAGCATCCAGTCCAGCTAGCAACGCCTCATACTCGGCTTCGTTATTAGACGCCTTAAATTTTAATCTGATTGTCCTTTCAATAATGAACTCTTCTGAGTTGACTAGCACAATACTTATCCCTGCCCCCCTTGCATTCGAGGATCCATCAACATGAAAATCCCAAACGTCCCCTGTTAGATCCTATGATGTTGGTGGGGGCTCGGACACAGAGAACTCGACGGCAAAGTTCGCCAGGACTTGTCCTTTTATTGACGTTTGAGGCTTGTACCTGATTTCAAACTCTCTGAGCTCTACAGCCCATTTGGCAACCCTCCCAGACATATCGGCTCAATGAAGGATCAGCTTGAGAGGTCGGTCTGTAAGGACGTCTATGGTGTGAGCCTGGAAGTAGTGTCGAAGTTTTTTCGTCGAGATTACCAATGTCAAGACCAATTTCTCCATTGGAGAGTACCTTGTCTTGGCATCAAGCAAGGTCTTGCTTATAAAATACACGAGTCTTTGGGCCTCTTTGCTATCTTTGACCAATGCTCCAATCACGGCGTCTCGAGATACGAACAAGTAAAGGCTAAGCACCTCCCCTGCCGCTGGAACAGATAAAGTTGGAGGATGTTTCAAGTACTCCTTGATCC